TTTTGTGGACTCCACCCCCTACTCTAGTCACTGAAACTACAACTCCCAGCAATACAAAGGGGAGACTGCAGAGACCCAAGGGCAGAGCTAAGCAACCATTTTTGGGACTTTGGGGGATATAGATGGGAGCCATGTTAGGCTGTAACAATTTGACAGAGATCACACAACTAATAAACCATGGGGGTTGAAACTCTATCTTGTGATTGCAAGGTTTATGGGCTTTCTGCTACTTGCACCTTAAAATTCACACGTCCTTTCCCTGCAGACCTTGTCTCATACCACTGCAGGCCACTCACTGCAGCCTCTAGCTTATGTGGCTGCACTTTCACTTCCTCGGTGACTTCTTTGGAAACTTCATTCCCAGAGCTGTGGGAGCTGACATTTTAGAGAAAGCAGTTAATTCCAGCCCCTTTCTATCAGCCTCTTGGTGAGCTGAGTGTTGTATTGGTTTTCAACCTAGGGAAAAAGACCTGGCTTCACAGTCAGATGAGCAATTCAGATGAATTCAATATACAGTGAGTGTCTCCATTCTTGGTGAAAAAACTTGAATTTTGAGGAGACATATGTTCAGGGCACCCTGCTAAGCAGAGAGGTAGTTTCTATTTCACTTTGAGGTTAACAATGTGTGTGTGTGTGTGCATGCATCTTCTTTTAGCAAAATGTTTTTCTCGATCTTTATGCTATTTGATTGTTTTGGTCTCTTTTCATCATTAGTTTCAGGGTTTGGTGGACCATATCCAACCCATCACCTGGCTTTGTAAATAAAGTTTTTTTTTTTTATAGAATAATGATGTATTTGTTTATGCATAGAATAAAGATGTATTTGTTTAAGCTGTGTTGGAGCCAAGAGGTGCAAGGGCAGTGGGGCAGGAAGGTGAGAGGATTCACTAGAGACAGAAGAGGTAGATCTACTGAAATCCTCTGCTGGGGGGAGCAGTAGGGGAGACAGGACAGGTCTGCTCGCCATGTGCTTAAGTTCCTGGCTGGGGATTGAACTTGTGTTTCATTGGCTGCCAATAACATCATAGTTCTGGAACTGGACCCCTTGTGCCATCAGAGAGGCCCTGTAAATAAAGTTTTGGTTATGGTGGCTGCTTTAATGTTACAACAGGATCAAAGCTGTCACAGAGACAGCTTCAATTGTTCATAAAACCTAAAATAGTTTCCATTGCCCTTTATAGAACTAGTGTGTTGACAGCTTTTATTTTTTTACTAGTATTTAAGTTTTAAAGCAAAAACGTGCACATAGTCCCAGGGAAAACTCTCCCAATATCTTATTGGTCATTAATAACAGGTCTGGAAAAACACACAAACTCCACCACCAGCCATGAGTGTATGCATATGTGGATTGCATGGCCGTACTTAAGGAATATATAATAATAATGCTCCTCTACTGCAGCATATTCCTGACTAACTGGGTGGTGGAGATGCTGCTCACTAGCTGGGTGAACTTGAACTGGTCACAAACCTCTCTACACTAATAAGATGAAATACTTAGAAATAATTAAATGTACCTTTGACATAAAAGTATTTGACTATATAAGGTATATGTAAATATCATATACTTGTGTTTATATGCATATGTATGCATATTATGTATATTTATATATTACATGATTTTAAAGAGAATAGAATAATAAAGTAAATAACAAATAAATAAAAAGCTGGCACATTTCCCTACCATCCGTCATAGACAAAAGGATTGTGACTATCTTAGGAGTGCCCTCTCTGCACTTAATCATAATATTCTCTTCCCTCTCTTCAGAGTCAACTGTTCAATTGGTTTAATCATCCTATTGCTTTTCTCTCTAGTTGTATTGCACTTCCAAAGTCCATCAAAATTTGTGTTACACTGGTGTTATTTCATTTCCTTGATGATAAAGTCTCTTTGTGCCTTAAGATTTCATACAAACACAGCAACACAAAGTGACTATAAGAAATACTTCCGATAGGCCCTGCCTGGTGGCCCAACGGGTTAGGACACAGCACTGCAAACTGGTCACAGCCGTGCTTCAGTATGAGTTCAGTCCAGCCAGAGGTGACCCACATGGCGCGGCAGACCTTTCCTGACCTGTCCGCTGCTCCCCTCAGCAGTGTACTTTGTTGATCTGCTTGTTCTACTCCCCACTCTGTCTCTGGTGAAGCCTCTCCTCTGGCCTTTACCCCAGTTCTGTGTGAACAATAAATAAATATAGCTTAAGAAAATACTAAAATATATTAGGTAGTTTTTTCTTTTCCCTTTGGCGGCCATAATGAAGGTGTGGGCAAGGTACACGCATACTCACAGGCTAGCTCAGAGTATTTTCCCCTGCTACTGTAGGGTTTTCCATCACGTGCGAGGCAGAAAAGGCTGATATCTCCAGAGGGAGTGGTTGACTCCTCCGGTTTAGATTTATCAGCTTCAGAAGGGAGGGATCATGGTAAAAATCTTTGCTGACCCTGGCCAGGTCATGTGAGTTGAATCCACATTTTCATAGTAAAAGAATAAGATGCAACTTGATTTGTGAGCTTTAAAATTAACTAGAAGTTAATTAACTAGAAGTTAATTTTAAGTTGAAGGAAAATCTCATTGTATCCATGGTTTGTTTTTCTTTTTTCCTTTATTTTGTGCCTGAAAAAAGTCTAAATACTGGGTTTTGGAAGCAGGAGCTGTTGTTAAGCATAAACCTTTTAAACTCTATAATTACTCTATAAAAGCTGTGCATTTGATCAAAAATGCACATAGTCTTACATTTTAGTGCTCAGCATATGAAGCATTTATAATGATGGGGTACTTCCAAAAATAAATCAACTCTATAGAAAATGTTAATCAGTTCATCCCCAGAGACTACAGTGAGTATCCCCATTGTGCAAATGAGGAAATGGACATGACAGTTAGTGGTTTGCCCAAAGCCACACTGTCATTGGCAGTTAGACTAGGCAGTGGTCCCATGTACAAGGAAATGCAGTCATGTTTTCATGTAAGACACTGTGGGCCTTAGTCAAATTGACCTAAATTAAGATTCAGGGGCTAACAAGCCTTATGGTGTTTGGAAAAATTTACCACATCAACCACAAGGAGCTGGCTTGCTCCTGAAAGTTACCTGTAGGATTTTAAATAGAGGTGTTTTTTGTTTGTTTGTTTGTTTGTTTGTTTGTTTTGTTGTTTTTGCTTGAAGTCAAAAGCTCTGTATCTGGTAAACATTGCTATGAAAACAGAAAAGCAACTGGTTTGAGTCTATTTCACACTGCCAGAGAAAATAGTTTGAGAAGTACGGTAATGTCTCAATTTGTGGCATTCTTTTCTTACAGTTGACAAGAGAGCAGCCTTCGACTGGGAACTTACTCTTTGAAAACAGTTTTTAGGGGGTTGATTCAGGATGTGTTTGCAATTTTCCAAATCGCTTGCCTCAAGGATTGCGTGGCAGATTTATATTGAGGAATGACAAAATCCTCCATTTTCAAAGAAACTTCTGGAATTATTACTCTTTTCTTAGGCAAAAATGGATAGCTCAGTTTATAAATATTTTCAACAACTGATTGGAGCAAGAGTCTACCCCCCGACCCCTCATTAACATCTAGTTAATTTCTAGTTAATAACCCATTTTTATTTAATAGTATATACTCTTAAGATATTGTTCATTGGGCCTCCCTGGTGGCACAAGGGGTTATAGCACAGCACTATGAAACTACCAGCAGTCACTTCATTACGAGTTCCATCCCCTGCCAGTAACGTGACCCACATGGCACAACAGACCTCTCCTGTCCCACCCGCTGTTCCCCTCACAGTGTATTTCAGTAGATTCGCCTGTTCTGTTCCCCACTCTGTCTCTGGCGAATTCTCTCATCCCCCATACTTGTGGCCTGTAGCTCAGTTCTTATATGCATAAATAGATAAATCTCTTTAAAAAGAAAGATATTGTTCATTATAAAAACTATGGTTTGTAGGCATATTACCCCTATTCAAAGACATGGGAGTGACACAGCAGCTCATCCATCTGTTATAATAAACTACCAAGGTGTACTTCATCTCTGAATAAAGTTGTGCTAAGTCAGTGTGTAATTGAGAGGAAAGGTGCTAAGAGGAAGACACCAAAGCATGCTACTCAAATGTACCTCAAAGAGGGTGGGTGCCAGGTACCTGCCCTGAGTTTGAGATTTGATGTTGGCATTTCAGATATCTACATTCACGACCGAGTTGACAGATTGTGTTGACCAAGTTCACAAGTGACTAAAAAGCCAGGATGACAATATATTGTGTTCTTTACTAAGTTGGGTTCATTACCCAGCACACCTACCTTTTATGACATTGGGCAGATTGCCTCACTTTTCTAAGGGAGTTTTTTTTAACCTGGACAGTTGGAAAGTTAATGCTTTATAAAGATAAGCTAATGCCTTAACATTATATACCTGGAGGATTATAGCTGTTGTAATTGTACTGTCTTTTTGGCGGTTATAATTATAATTGTGTAAGTCACTTAAGGGACTAAATAATAGATCAGAAAACTGCTTGTTGAACATTGAGTTAGAGAACAGTTCCTCCTTCTGAGCTGGGGACAGTATCAGCTAACATGAATAGATGCCATTGCCAGAACGCAAACACCTTTTACTCAGAGTCCTTGAAAAGGTCCGCTGCAATTTTAATGCATGGCTTGCCTTTGTCTGGAATCACCAATGGCCACTTTCTTAATCTGGGAGTCTATTTTGCTCTAGTTGTTATTAGCAGTAACGAAGGAATCCCTCTGCTTGCTTTAGGGTTAACTTTCACAGCATCTTTTAGGGACGCTCATTATACTTCTAGGATTTCTTCTTCTGGATCCACATTCAGAAAATGAAAGTTGCTGGGGGTACCTAACTACCCCCAGGATGGATGGTATATGCCTTCCTTTGATGGAAGAATAGCAATGAAGATGCATGCTGCATTTAATTTTATTAAAACAAAGTGACCTTGTATGATGACCTTCCCTCCCATACCTGAATTGGTTTTTTTTTTTTTTTTTTTTAATTTTGTCTCGGTGCAGGTATTGACATCCTGAAGCTGGTAGCAGCCCAGGTGGGAAGCCAGTGGAAAGACATCTATCAGTTTCTGTGCAATGCCAGTGAGAGGGAGGTGGCTGCGTTCTCCAACGGGTACACAGCAGATCACGAGAGGGCCTATGCAGCTCTTCAGCACTGGACCATCCGGGGCCCTGAGGCCAGTCTTGCCCAGTTAATTAGTGCCCTGCGCCAGCACCGGCGCAATGATGTTGTGGAGAAGATTCGGGGACTGATGGAAGATACAACCCAGGTAATTAGCATAATTTGTCTGCCTTTCCTGTGAAACTTATTTTTGCCACTGTGCTTCAGATTTTATTAAGTATCTATAATAAGGACACAACCGGTGTTTTGGTACCTACACACACACGCACACACACACACACACACACACACACACACACACACACTGTGATTCCAGGACTTCCAGGGCAGTGGTTTTCAATGATTTCCACTGGAGCCATCTGGACAGCTTCCAAAAAATTCTGATACTTGGACCCCACCGTAGAACAGTTAAATCAATTTCTAGAAGGAAGGCTAGAAATCAGTATTGTCAGGCTTTCTAATGATTTTAATGTGCACAGCTGAAAATCAATGTCTTTGGGGGAACTTCTAGAATCAGTCTTGTGTAGTCAGATCTATCCCTTCACGCCCATTTATGGTTTTATTTTGAATGACATGCTTTGAGCAAGAAAAGAAAGAAGACCTTTTTGTCTGATAACCTCCTGTCCCCCAGACGGTTTCAAACTATGACATGGCTTGGGAAGGCTCCATCTTACCTCCTGAGGATGCAGAAGTTGCTAGTGGCAGTAGGTAGCAGGATTGATCCTTCTCTTTGGGCTTATTCAGTCTGTACATCAGATGGGAACTGAGGGAACAAGTGATTTGTGAGTGTGATTGATTTGTTTATTGTTTCTGGTTACTAAGCCTAGGCTTTGGGGCTTAATCTCACCACTGAATTTGAGTCCTGGCTTCTGCTACTTAGTAGTTGGGTAACCACAGTAAGTTACTTCAACATTATCTGCCTCTGTTATCTCATCTCTAAGTCAACTTTATGGAATTCTTTGAGACTGGGAATGAGCCTATAAACTGCCTGATATGTGGGATCTGTGCTCAGCTGGTAGCTGCGGTCCTTATGTAAAGTTTTGTTTTTTGTTTGTTTTTCAAGATGTATTTATTTATGCATACAGAACTAGGGTACAAGCCAGAGGTACAGGGGCTATGAAAGGCTTCACCAGAGACAGAGCAGGGAGTAGAACAGGCTGACTGAGGAAGTACACTGCTGAGGGGAGCAGTGGGCAGGTCAGGAAAGTTCTGCCATGCCTTGTGGATCAGCTCTGGGGCAGGGATCGAACTCATGCTGAAGTGGCTTTAGCTTCTTAGTGTTGTGGCTACACCACCAGGGAGGGCCCCCCCTTATGTAAAGTTTTATACTTAACTTTTCCTTACTCATAAGTGCTTCCCTGGAAAGGTGATGAATTACCCTCAAATGTGGGTATTGAATCATATTCTGCTCAGACTTGAGGTGAAGTTTCAAAACACATTCCCAAGGTGGGGAAAACACTGCTGCTAAGATTTGATAAAACCCACGTAACATTCTAAAGGCTATTATGCCTGTGTTATTTTTCAGTAGCCTTCATGCCTTATCTGAAAAGCTAAGTAGATATTTTCCTCCGTCAAGTCTAATTTTCCCTCATTCTGTAGGAAATTCTGTATGTCAAGGGACCCGATTATATATATTTAAGTATTCCAAATACTTTTTATCGTTTTTTACTCAAGTATAATATTTCCTCACTATTGAAGTAAACATTCCTCATGTGGGTCTTTTCTCAAAGTGACTGGATAAAAGTGTGTAGGTGCTAATTGACTCTGAAGGTGGTCTTTCAAGTTCTTAGCATAATTTAACTTCTATGAAATGTGGAATTTGAGAAAAAAATATTTACTAATAAATGCCGTGATAAATATTCAAAGACACACTCCAGTGTCTTTAGAACTTTCTGAGAAGCAATCTCAGGAAGTATGGTTCACAACTAAAGCTGGCTTTTAGTGGCTGGATTTGGGGGAAAGACGGGAAGACGTTTAGCCACCAATTATATGAAATGGTTGCATTTAGGAGCAAGGGAGTTCAGATGTGAAAATGATGGTGCTTACCTTGAGTGTTGGCTTTCAGGAGAGAACTGGTAAAGACAAGCAGCAGATTTGAAGAAGGGTTAGATCCTTGAGTATAAGTTACTAGGATCATTCATGATGCCTACAAGAAAGGTAAAGTATGACTGATGTAATGTTAGGATTTGAGTAAATGGAATATTTAACAAGGGGGAAAGATGGTCACAACATTCTGTTGAAAGATTTCTCATTAGAAAAGACAAATAAAAGCATAAGGAAATATAAACATGAGAAAATGAAAAAGAATCCATGTTAATGTTATGTTATTAAAGTCAAATGGTAGAATTAATGATTTTCCTCTTTTAGTATTTTCTATAATGAAACATATTACTTTTGTCAATCCAAATACTGCTAAAAATGACAAACTTTTCAGGGCACAGAAGAATGAATAGGCAAGGCTTTGTTTCACTGAGTTAAATTTGGAGAAGCAGCCATGCTCATTTTAATTTAGTGGCTAGTATGATGATCTAGTCTTTAGTAGGACTGACTGAGGTTTTCTTATTGGGTTGGATTGGCAAAAACTTACTAAGAAACTTCATTTTGGTTTCTGCAAGTCCATCCCATTTCTCTACCTACACACAGCAATCATGAGGAATCTGGTGTTCTAGTCTTCAGTGTACTTCTGTTTGGTGATGGTAATGGTGGTGTGTAGGATAACTGTAATAAATGGCCTTGCTGTAGAGGATCCAGACTTCACCTTGAGACAGCTTATCAAGGAGAGTAAATCATAACCAAAACCACTGGGGCATAAGAAATAGGAACACCTTATACACCAGTGCCACATACTCGTAACTTTCAGTTCTTCCCTCCCTCTTATTTATAACACAAAGCAACTCTAGTGTCTATATTTGTTATTTATTCAAAAGATTAATTTATTTATGCATACAAGAAATGGGGTACAGGCCAGAGGTGCAGGGGGTGAGAGGATTTACCAGAGACAAGAGTGGGGAGCACAACAGATGGATCTACTGACATGCACTGCTGAGGAGAGCAGCAGGTGAGTCAGGAGGGACCTGCTGTGCAATGTGGGTCAGATTCCTGGCTGGGATGAACCCTATACATGTGCCCAGTAGCTGCTGACAGCTTCACAGCACCGGAGACTTAATCCCTGTCACCCTTCCATTATTTATTTTTAAGATTTATTTATGAATACAGAACTGGGGTATAGCCCAGAGGTACAGGGGCAGTGAAAGGATTCACCAGAGGAAGAGCAGGGAGCAGAACAGGCAGATTGACAAAGTACACTGCTGAGGGGAGCATGGGGTGGATCAGGAGAGGTCTACCACACCATGTGGGTCACCTCCTTGGTTGGGAATCGAACTCGTGCTGTAGTAGCTGCAGTAGCTTCATAGTGCTGTACTTTACCCAGTTGTGCTACTGGGGGTGGCCCTCATTATTATTATTATTTTTTAAGATTTATTTATCTATGCATACAGGACTGGGGTGCAGGCCAGAGGTGCGTGGGTGAAAGGATTCACCAGAGACAGAGTGGAGAGTAGAACAACAGGCAGATTGATGGAAGTACACTGCTGAGGGGAGCATTGGGTGCAACAGAAGAGGTTCTGCTGCACCATGAGGATCACCTCCTTGGCAGGGAAAGAACTTGTGCTGCAGTGACTGGTGATAGCTTGATAATGCTATCTTTATCCCCAGTGCCACCAAGGAGGGCCCTCATTATTTATTTTTAAAGAATAATGGCATCAAAGCATTCTGGAATTTTTGTTCCATGTTTTAGTAGTGGCCACTGTTGTCTAGCAACCTTCTGGCCCAATTCTGACTGATTTTAATAGCCAATGAACATGGGTTTCTGGCTGTCAGTGATGAATCTCACAGTATGTAACTGTTGTGAGTTTATCTTTGCGACTTGTTGGCTTAAACAAGAATAAGAATACAGGGGGCATAATTGAGACTTAATCCTCCCATTTTAAGATGGATTTGTGTTCTTTGTGTGTTAGGGTACTGCCAGAGACTTGAGGTTTTGTCCACTTTAATGGACTCTTAATGTGTAAAAATAACTTTGTGAGTGCATATTTTTAATAATGGTTAATATTAAATAATTGAATATTTTCAATTCAGGAACCTGAGAGCACCTATACATGTTCCACTCAAAAGATTAGCTCTAGTGTGCCTTTTAGTTATCTCTGTCAGGAACAGCTGGTCCATTATTAACCTTGGTAGTCTAGGTGACATTTTTAAATTAAACACAGAGTCCCTTTCTTTTCTTTATGAATTGAAATATTATGTAATAAAATTCACTTTTTTTTTTAAAGATATATTCATGTATGCATACAGAACTGGGGTACAAGCCAAAGGTCAAAGGTGCAGGGGTGGTGAGAGGATTCACCAGAGAGAGTGGGGAACAGAACAGGCAGATCGACGAAGTACACTGCTGAGGGGAGCAGCGGGCAGGTCAGGAGAGGTCTGCCACACCACCTCTGGGGCTGGGGATTGAACTCATGCTGAAAGGGCTGCAGCCAGCTTCCATGCTGCTTCCTAACCTGTTGTGCCACCAGGGAGGGCCCAATTCACTTTTTGGTAGATATTTCTTTGAATTATTTTTTTCTGTTAAGTCCCTCTGTTATAAGAACAGTTTTAGATCTACAACAAAGTTGAGAGCTAGGTGCAGAGATTTCTCATATACCTTCTGTTCTCACATACCCATAGTCTCCCCCGTTATTAACATCAGTGACCAAAATGGTACATTTTTTTACAAAGGATGACCTTATATTGACACATCATGATCACCCAAAGTCCAGAGTTTACCTTTGGATTCACTCTTGTATATTCTTTGTGCTTCGACAAATGTATAAAGACATATACCTGCCACATTAATATCATGCAGAATATTTTTACTGCCCTAAAAATCCTCTATGCTCAGTTTATTTATCTCTCTCCCCCTGTGTTCCACTTTACCCCACAAAATACTGATCTTGTATTGTCTTCTATCTAAGATTATTTTCTTTAGCATACAGGATACTTCTCAGTGCAGGTTTCCAGGAATAAGTTCTGTTTTTCTCTCTCTGGAAAAGACCTAGCAAATAGGCAAATAAATAAATTGCATGATTTGCCCTTTATTTTTGAAGGGTA